ACCCACTATGCCACAATGCTGGCCCAAGGGCTTGCTTTTTAAAAACATTTATCTACTTACTTGAAAAGCAGAGTTACAGAGAGCATGTAAAAGGAAGAGAGACAGAGACAGAGATACAGAGACAGAGAGATTGATTTTCCATCCACGGGTTTACTCCTCAAATGGCTGCAATGGCCAAGGTTGGGCCACAAGGAAGCCAGGAGCCTGGAACTCCATCCAGGTCTCCCACTTGAATGGCAGAGCATAAATGCTTGGGTAATATTCCACTGCTTTCCCAGGCACATTATCAGGGAGCTCTATCAGAATCAAAGTGTCCAAGACTCAAACAGGCACTCTGAAATTGGAAGCCGCCATTGCAGGTGGCAGCTTAACCCACTGCTTCATGAAGCTGGTCCCAATGGTTGCATTTTAAGGAGCTCTTCTGCTACTAACAGAAACAGATAGTGATCCAGAGATTTGAGTAATTTATTTGGGAAATAATCCCAAGGTTTCAGTACATGGTGAAGGAGTGGGAAACTGAAACAATAAAGGGATAAAAGTTAAGCGTACACTAGTCAGTGGGTGACCACGTGAGCTCCTAGGACACAAGTCTGTGGAAATCGAGACAGTGTCAATCAATCATGTCAGAATTATTCCACGAGGATTGGAGAAGCTGTGATATTTATTCAAGAAACTTCTCTGGTTGAGAATTCCTTCCAGATGTTAATCTCTCTTGTTTCCATTCCAATTCTTTCTTTATAGCAAAGTAAATTCCATATTTAAGTATGAAAGCTGAAACCAACATAATCCTAAGGTGGTAGAACATATTATTTCAAAGTAATCTCAAGTAGAAATACAAAACTTAAAAAAAAAGAATATTGAGTTAATGAATTTAACCATTATCAATTTCAAATTCTTGAAAATTTGTTTACTTGAGAGACAGAGGAGAGCTTCCATTCCCAGATGCTCACAATGGCCAGGGTGGCTGAAGCCAGGAGTGGGGAACTCAATCCAGTCCTCCAGAGTGAGTGGCAAGAACCCAACTACTTGAGCCATCACCGCTGACTCCCAGGACTTACATTAGCAGAGAGCTGGAATCAGGAGCCAGAGCCACATATTGAATCCAGGCATTACAGTGTGAGACATAGGCATCTTCACTGGCTTAACAGCTAAGCCAAACACATAGCCCTCAAATATTTTATACAGTAAGTAATTTCAGAAATGAATAAATTGGAACAGGTATTTTTTTCTCAATATGCACAGATACACTTAAAATTTATGAATCTTGATCTTGCTGAAAGTGCTTTGCCAGAACCTGAGCAGTTTCTATGATGTTGGAAATGGCAAGACTATAGGAACTATATGAAGAGTGCAGTGACTTGAAGATGGATGTAATGCCCGGAGAGGGTGACTTTCTGTGTGTTGAGGTTGGAAGTGGGATCCGGAGCCATTCCTGAGTCCCTCCTGCCACAGGACCTCACTCAGCTCCAAAGGAAGGCCTGATGGAGGAGGAGGCGTGGCCTAGCCAAGGCATCACTAGCCAGGAAAGGCAGCCTTGCTAACTGGTGCAACCCTGGGAAGCAGCCTGCCCATGTCACCGGCCCACACTTCCAAAGCTAGGACAAGGGAGGAACTGGATGACAGGAGGATGACCACAGCTGTACAGAAGAGGAGCAGCTGAGTGGTGTGGTATGCTATATAGTATCAATGGCCCTGGAAGAAACTAACGCGATGTTTCTGAGAACCTCCGGAGCCAGAAAAGCAGCCCTGGATGGCGGATTTCAGATGCATTATGAGAAGACCCCGTTTGATCAGTTAGCCTTCATTGAAGAGCTTTTTCACTTGTGGTTGTCAGTCATCTGACCGAAAAACTCGGTTGCAACGAGATTATTAGCTGAATGCTGATGGAAGAGGAGGAAACTACTTGAGGTGGGGCCCAACATTTCACCTGCTTTGGGGTTTGTTACAAATAGGTTCTGAGCCAGTGAAAACCTTGATCTTCAGGAAAATAACTTTGTTTTTCAGAACAGAAGACCAAGGGACACTGCACAGTTATGAAAAAGGAAAAGAATAATAAAGGAAAAAGGAGCTAGGACGGTTGAAGTCCATTTTCAAGAATGCCCTGAAATACCCATGGCTTGTGACTTTGTGTACTATGAAGATTATTTTCCTTGCATTGGAAAAGATGTTTTTCATATTTGTTTGGCTGAAAAGATGGTTTTGCAAGAGTAATCCATGACCAAGACAAACTGCCATTATAAGAGCCCACTGATAATTATATAAGAAAAATGTCTCCAAGATCATTTGGACTGAAAGCCTGTTGAGAAAACTTTGAAAGTTACAAACAATTATTTTTGCCATGGTTATCAAAGGCTAACTTTTCAGTTGTAAGTTGAGTATTCTTCATTATCCAAAAGGATGAACGAACTCAAAAAGAAATCATATTTATCCCACATGCTATATATTTTTTTTTTCTTGAAAAAAAAGAAAAACGGGGTTTATTGATTTTCTTTAAACTGCAAATAGTCGTTACAAAAAAGTTTTTTTTTTCTTTTAAATAAATTCACACAAAGAAAGAGAAATAGAAAGCAATGGTAGTGGCCAGCCAAAGGAGTAATTACATTCATCTTTGTGTGTGCGCGCGCGCCAGTTCTGTTTACATCAACATCGGAAACTCCACACCTAGAATCCAGAACCTTAGCTCTGCCAGCGGAATGTCGAGACGGGCGCGTGGAAGTTAAAGGGTTTCTCTCGCTGACGCTCCCTTTCAGAAGGTGCCCCCGACAAGCTGGTTCCCTTCTGCACTGTCACAGAACCTCTACAAACATTCTCAGTCCTAGTCGTGAGAGGCCGAAAGAGAAAGAAACTCAATTTGCAGTCCAACACAAAGGGGGGAATTTCTAAAATAAATAATCCAACAGTTTTTTGCATTTTTTTAAATTAATTTTTCATTTTTTTTAAAATAAAATAACCAAAAAAAGTGTAAAGTTACAAAAAATGTTGTTGAAGAATAATATATTAAAACTGTGGAAAAAAAAAGGAAAGACACGTCACAAAATTTTAAGATTAATATGAAGATCATGATTTAACATAAAAGAATATATTCTATGGATTTGTCATCCCGATAAATATGAACAAAATTAACAAAAAAAAGGCATAGTTTGGCAATAAATACGTTTTGATAAGTTAAATAAGCTTTTTTATATTGATGTGCAGTGACAAGCAAAATTTTTGCTCTCCAATTTCTGAAAGTTACATGAAGTTTAAATCCCAGGGAAAAAAAGCACGGTGTGGATGCTCTAAGGAGAGACCTACGGTATTCTAGAGCAAAAAACCATTAAAGCTACTTCTACAGGAAATCGCCTTACAGATACTGTATGTGGAATGAATACCATTAACTGCTCACCCCTTACATGGTTTTTTTTTTTTTAGCTTTTCTCTCATTTCTTTTTTTGTTATTTTTTTTTTCCATAAAAGATGTCACATATGAACTGGGGAACTTTAGCACCAAAATCAAGTCTCTCATAGTCCACCTAGCATCCCCTTCCTCCCCACTTTAAAATAAAAAAGAAAAAAAAAATTAAATCACA